CTTTGATGCTCCTTTATTCTCTTTTGGACTTCTATTGTGTCTACCGAAAGAGCCCTCCACACACACACACACCACACGATATAGGCGTGTGATATGTTGAAGCCTCAACATGCATGGAGTCATTGCCAAGCTTCATGTGTCAACCAAACAACCAAAGACGAAGCAAGACGATTGGACCCCCCAACCAATCGTCCAGCAACTCAAACTGCAGCTGCACTTGACACACGTGCTAGTAATTACAATTCTAATTAAATTCTTATTGTTACTAGTAGTAAGGCACTTGTTACTAGTAGCGATGCACTTGTTCCTAGTAAAAAAATAACGGTTCGCTGTGCGTCTCGGTTCGGTCTCGTGTCTCGTCGTTTGGTTCGTCGCGGTCCGGGCCCTTCCGCAGCTTCCGCACGACCTGAAGTTTTGCTGCACAGATACCCACTACAAGCGACATCCTCAGAGTCAAGCGTGTGGGCATCGATTCGTTTTGAGGGTGAAAGACGGACTCAAACTAGATAACTACCAAAGATGCAGAAATAGACCGAACATACACCGCAGGCTCAACAGGGTCGCATGCGTCCGCCAGCCTGCACATCTTAAATTCAGCAAATGAATACCAGCATCGGGAGCATCGCACCAGCCAAGCAAAGCTCTAGTATGAATTTCATTTCATAGCAAGTGGTTGTCGCCTGAGTGGCCAGCATGGGCGTTTCGATTGTTTAGGCATCCCAGCCAAAGACTGGTGCCAAGGTACTGGACTCATTTGCTTGAAGGTGGTGTGAAGGCGCTGTGGAAAGGTTTTGAGAAGTCACACCTAATATATAGCGATGCCCTTTGCTCCTAGTAGCTTCTTGTTACTAGTTTTAATGCCAGGAGCTATGCCCTGTTACTACTAGCTTTTTGTTCCTAGTAGCAATGGCCACGCTGTCTTTGATTGTCTTTGACGTATGACCACAATTGAATTGACAAGAGCTCCAAACCGCTTAGACAATTGTGCTCCCTGAAGAGGCCGGTGGACAAGAGAAGCTGGACTATGGCTACAGAGGGTGCGCCTGCAAAGTCTTGAAATTCTTTTAGTCCTGAACATCCTCCTCAACATGTGCAGACATTTCTTGTGATTTATTTGTTTTGTTTGTTTGTACTGTTTCAGACAAACATGTTGGTGGCGGACTAAAGCTGCAATGCCTGTCTTGTGAGGCCCTCTTCCACAAAGCAACATTTCTATTTGGGTGGCTTGGCACTTTCTTAGAAGTTCTTTTTTGCAAACACCACACTGAGCACGGTGAGCGCAGTATGTTGAAAGACCCTTGACTCGATCGACACACGGGCCCAGTCTGAAAGCCATTACTCCCGAGGCAAGTTTGAGAATGTCAAGCACGCTCGGACCTCAGAGACCTTGCATTCGAGCACAACAACAGGACATCATTCAACAACATATCAGGTGATATCAGGTTATCCATGGTTATCCGTTCAGGGGGGTCATCCGTTTGGCGAGCTTCGAACCGCAGTAGTGGGCAAACCAAGTTGGCTGCGAAAAAAAGATCATCTAGGCACAAGAAGCTACTAGGTGGAGGCCATCGCTATTAGGTTGCAGGCCATCGCTACTAGGTTGGAGGCCATTGCTAGTAGGTTGGAGGCCATCGCTACTAGTAACTAGTAATAAGAAGCTACTAGGGCTCCCAAGCTACCTACTAGCTTCTTGTTGCTAGTAAGACTTCGGATTTCTTGGAACAAATCATTACCTAAAAAGCTTCTTGTTACTACAGGTGAAGCGATTCCCAGTGAAACAATTCCAAGTTGGGCAAACCAAGTTGGCATGAAGCTTAGTTTGTCCGAAAAGCCGGCTGCATTGCGCCAGTACCAGCGAATCTTGCGCACCGGATATTTTGACCCAGTCACCAAGCAACGCACGGAATCCCAAGTTGACGAAGAATGGGTACGGAGGGGTCGAGCGGGTTGCGTCGCACCATGTACGTGTGCTTCTTCACAACATATTTGGTCACCAACACACACACACACATAGTGTCCTATTTCCACGGCATGTATTGGATATCATTTCATCATATTTCTTCTATTTGAGCGCCAGGACCAGACCTGTTCCAAAAGTGCCTCCTCGATTCGTTTCGCGTGAATTGCTTGGGGTTTCACGTCTGGACACCGTGACTGTGAGCTCCCAGTGAATCGAGTCCCGACGGAGGGACTCGGTGCCGGTTTCCCTCGACTGCCTTTGGGTTACATGTTAGATGCCTTTCTCCACAGCCATCTCGTTGCAACCGCCAACATTATCCAACATCGCTCAGTTCGAGAACTTCAGCTGGATGATCGGGATGAGTGGCTTGGCTTTGTTGTTTTGCTTGAGCTGAACAACAACTCTTGGCTGGGCCTGACTCTGCGTTCCTGGCTCCAACTAGTTCTGGCTTGGATTTTTATAGCTATAGAAAGAAACGTTGTTCAAGTTGATTGTTTGAGGTTCCGTGATGGTTCCGTGTCTGGAGAGTGAAACAAGTCGGGCTGGATTCATCTGAGACATTAAGACTTTCTCGCAGGAGTTCCGTTAAAAGTCTTCCACACTGGGCAAAAGACGCGAGAAGCTGACAAGCAGCGCGTTTTGGGTGGTTCGAACATAGAACTATGAATGCTCCCAAAGAGTCTTTTTGGGCAATTAAACACCGACTCAACTCCATTTTCGGCAGTGGGTGCCCCACCATCTTGCTTTTGCATATCTTCTTGGCAGTTTTCATGTTTGCAGACCTGTGCACCAGGTTTGACAACCGATTGCATGATGACATGATCAACCACAATGAGGAGGAGACTCCCCACAAGCGCCACTGAGTTCTTTGTTGCTTCCCTGCCGTGATGGGCTGACGACGCACGGACACAGAGACACACCCAGATCCAATAGTGCTAGTACACCCAAAAGGGTGATGCGAAGATCGAAGCATGGACCTGAATGAACACACTAATAGCAAGGGCCTCCAACCTATAAGCAAAAGGAACCTAGTTGCAATGGTCTCCACCCTAGCAGCGATGGCCTCAAGTAAACATCGCAGAGACCATTTTTCAGTTGACAAGGTGGGCGAGAATGACTGACGAGCAAAAAGAAGACGACAATGCCTTTGCTTGTTCAAACAAGATTGTTTGTTCTTTGCGTGCCAAGAGGTTTGGAGTGGCAGTTCATTCCAAAACGAAGCCATGGCCGGCCTTCTTTCACGAAGGGCTTCAACGACGGCTGTTTTTCTGCAATCTTGGAACTCAAGATACGTGTCACATGTCCAAAACTAGGCCTTAGGCTATGGGCTATGAGTCAAATAGTTGGGGCCTCTACCAGATGATGCCACTGAAATCCACCATAGTGGTTTCGTGGTCTCCACTGATTGGAACTGCGAACTCGTAAGCTGCGTGGCGGACCAGGAGTTGCGCTGGGCCAAATGTGGCAGCTTTGATCTCTATAGACCCAAGCACACGGCGTCTGGCTGGCGGTTTTTGTTGGGACGGTGAAGACACGTGAGGGCAACGCGTTTACCGTTTTCTCGTCTGTCGTATGTGTTTTGCTTACTGCTTTCTAGAAGAGAAACAACAACAAACAATAGTCAATAATGACACAGCCCAGTGCCTAACTCTTTCTGCAAGGCTCCTAGCCACTACTCCCTTTAAATGCAGCCTTGTTCCCAACCCAGTCGGGGGAGAAAGCTCTCGCTCCACTTCTCTTCCTCCAACCCTCCGAGGCACATTTCAAAACTGCCAAACGGGACTGAAGGTGAGTTTTAAGGAACCTGTGGGGTTTTGAATTCTGAAGCCACACTAATTGCTTCTCGCCGACCGAATTCTGCTTGTTGATTCACCTGACCGCACGGAACCGGGACTCGTGGGCCAGGTCGATGCCGCAGCTGGGAGCCGATTTCGTGAACCGTGCAGGTTGAGGTTTGCCAAGCGATGACTCAGCCTATACGTGTCGGTGTTCTACTGTTGGAAAAGAGAAGTCACAAATGGCTTTTGCTTGTTCTCTGGAGTGTTTTCATGTTCTTCTGGGAAGATGTTGTTTTTACTGAGAAAGGACGCGTTGGCCCAGTGAAGTGGCCCAAATTTGCGTAGAGTAGTTTATGTTTAGAAGCTTTGAAGGGGCTGTTGGTTGAAGAACAACAGCAACATTCGAGCGCTTCGAATGTGGCCCAGATGCCTCGCCCAATGGCTGACTTCTGGCAATCTAAGACTGGGCTGAGAGGATGGTTGGCGGATGATTAACATCAAATACATCAAAGACCATGCAAAGCTAAGCCATGTTATGCTTCCAAGAACCTGTCCTCCAGCGTAGCCCCACTCTGGGGTGCCCATGAGATTTCAAGACTGTAGACTGTAGACAGTTGCACTCCCAGTTGCACTCCATGGGAATCATGGAAGTGGATGGCATGGCCTCTAGCCTAATACCGATGGCCTCCAACCTACTAGCGATGGCGTCCAAATCACTCAAGGAATATTTGAACTAATGTCTTCATTCGCACCTCTTGGGGTCGACGTCGCAGTTCCATCCGTGGGCACCTTGAAGATTTCGACGACTGTGCAAAGCACAGGCGCCGCGTCGGCAGAGTCACCTGCCAAGTCCAGAAAAAAGGCAACTAGGAGCAAGTAGCTATTAGGAGCAAGAAGCTACTAGGAGCAAAGGGCATCGCTACGAACGGAGCGATCGGACGCAACGAACGGGGCTCCTGGCCGTACTAGGAGCAATGTTTGCGGAACAGGACGTGGGTCGCACATCGGGTCAGGCGGGTTGGGTGGGTCATACGGGCACCGGTCGCTTGAAATGACCGGTTTGATCGGTGGTTTCCGCTTCGTTCAGCGGCAGAGACACTGTGTGTCGCAGCTCGTTCAGCCAATGAGAGTGATCAGCTTTGGAAACATCCAACGGCTCAGGTTCACAGCCTGAGGTGAACATCAGCTCCAGTCCCACCACACGTGGTTGCTCACATACCATTCCTGGTTGAAGGGTCAGCCAGCCCGGAAAAACATCACATGGCGAACAGCTTTTCCCATCGAAGCTGTTTCAGTGCACCGCAGAAGAGCCGCCATGGAGAGGCCCTCCAAGAGGACCCGTTTGCACTATGCGCCTGCCAAGGTGATCGCAGAGATTGGTTGTAACCACCAAGGCAGTAAAGAAACAGCCAAGGAGCCAGACAGGACGTTAAGCCAAGATTTTTTCCATGAGAAGTAGGTCAGGGTTTTATACTTGATAATATACTTCCTTGTGTGCTTCTTATTGCAGAGCGTTTTGTACCTGCATCATCCATGCATCCTTGGGTAGTTTTTCCCTTTTTGCGTCTTCCCATGTGAGGGTGGACTGTGAAGAACCCTTCAGACTCCTTCGAAATGGCCTTTTTCCGGTATTGTCTGTTCAGCACATGAGCCTAGGGCTGACCTGAAGTGACACGTGCAACAAGGTTCTTCAAACAAGTTCTTTTCTTCAAAAGGACGCCTCGTGATCCATCCATTTCCAAAGAGTCGGCCAGAGTTGCGCCAGGAGTTGCTGACCTTAGCGAAGGAAGCGGGGGCTACAGTGGGAAAGCTTCAGAAACGACATCCCAAGGAACTGCTCACTGAAGAGCCTTGGGCCCAGAGATTTTTGCTGGCAAGGAATGAGGGAATGGATCCTACAGAATCTCTGTTAGGGCATTGCCTCATTCCAAACAAGGTCGTTTTTGGCTTCGTTGGGTTTCTTGAACGTCCAAGTCTTCCAGCAAGAATCATAGCAACTTTTAAGTCCTTGGGGTTTGTTACCACCGCAAGGGCTTGCACAAGTGAGGATCAATATAATGCACCCCACCCTGCTCCACACCATTCGTATGGTGGCACATATGGGGCGCATCGAGAATTCCTTGAACTAAGCCTGGAAGATCACAAGGAACTTCAAGCTCATTGTCAGTCCATTGGGCTTGAGTATTCAAGCTCTGTTTGGGACATCACATCAGCCAAGGAGATCATCTCTTTGAATCCCACTTTGATCAAGGTTGGATCCCCTTCAAATTTGCATTGGGAAATGCAGGAGCTCCTTCGGGACACCTACCAAGGTGAAGTTCATATTTCGACCGGAATGACTTCAAGAGAAGATGTGGACAAGATCATCGAGTTCTGGGAGAGGGGCAAAGGCGACGCGAAGAACAGGGTAGTGCTTTACGCTTGCACTTCTGCATATCCAGTTCAGTTTAAAGATGTTTGCCTCTTGGAGATTGCTCGATTGAAGGAACAGTATGAAGATCGTGTGAAGGCCATTGGCTTTTCAGGGCACCACTTGGGCATTGCCATCGACATCGCTGCCTATGTCTTGGGAGCCACGTGGATCGAACGGCACTTCACCAAGGACCGGACCTGGAAGGGCACTGATCACGCAGCGTCCTTAGAATTCCCCGGCCTTTCGAAGCTCATTCGGGACTTGCGTGCCACCACGGTGTCGTTGAGCTACAAAGACGGCATCTTGGACGTTGAGAAGGAGCAGGAGGCCAAGCTCAAGTGGGGCTTCTACAATGCACGTCCGAAAGAGGCAGCCAAAGACGCCACGGCCAAAGATGCTGAAGCGGAGTGCTGAGGTATGGAAAAGGCGTCGGATGAAAGACTGAAGTGATCCTGAAGGGAATGGGCGTCTTTGGTTGGTCAATGCCGCGATCAAGACCAAGCTAGGGATATTGTCCACAATATCCACCCTACACTTGGAAAAGAGGAGAATTGAGGGGTTCTGATCTTTGCAATGTTTTCAACTGCTTTGGGGCCCTTTTGGGGGGCACATGGTATTGATCATGTACCTGAACAGTGAGTAACTGCCCGAAGAAAGCTTCCAAAGAAACCAGCCATTTAGGTGCTTAATTTGGAAGAGGGAACTGGAAGGACGGACATTTTAGGGTGGAGGCCATCGCTACTACAGTGGAGGCCATCGCTGGTAGGATGGAGGCCCGATGAAGTTTTCCGCAGAAACCAGCCAGTTAGGGTACTGGAAGGATGGAACGGTAGCTTTTTGTTCAGAGCCATTGGCTTGACGCCATCCAGGCTTGAGGTGTCTTCAAGCGTGCTGCAGGGCAGCGATCGATTTTTCTTTTCCTGAACATCTAGGAACCAAACGAAAAGTGCAAGCGTGAGCTATCCTGCATCCTACCTAAGAGCATGCCTCCTTACATAATTAAGTAGGCGTCTAGTTAATTAAGAAGTAGGAGGGCCAGGCCGCGGGCTTAAACAAATCAAGAAGGTAGGGTCTCTTCGGTCTCTTCCAATCTCCAAAGGGCTCTTCAGCCATTTCAGAGATCCACCGACGCAGCCAAGATTGACGCAGTTTGGGCCTGAGATGTGACGAAATGGCAAAAATTGACACAAATTGACAGTGCAGGTTTTGATTGTGGGGAAAACTGTCATTTTAATTAATTCAAAGCTATTTAGAGAAACAGAGTTTCCAGGGATGCAGATTTTTGGAGTTGCGATAGTTCACTTCGAGAAGTGGCTTGGAAGCCAGGTTTGTCGGTGAGGGCTATTTAGAAACAGAGAACCTACGTTCATGAAGTCATGGACCTTGCTGGTGCTTGACGGCTTCCGCCCGTTCGTTTTTGACCACACGTCAACAACAGTCTACTTTGGAATACTCCTTAACATCGACATGCAAAGACCATTGTCTTATACAAAGGGACCATGTTACATGTTTATGACCCGAAGTGTTCTCCTCCCTGCGGAATCGGCAGGCCATGGAAGCCTTCGCCGTGCCGATAGGAAGTTCTTCGGTGGATCGGCAGCAAGGAGACTGCGCGAAAGGGAATCGGAGATACCTGCAAGACATGTGATGAATATTGAATCACTGTTCACTCCGTTCTACCGCATGAAAGAGGGGTTGACCTCCAGAAGCAAAGATGAAGTCTATAGCCGTATAATCCAAGGTTATTTTGCATTGCGGCCTTTTGCCACTTTGCAACGGCCATAAAATGCTTGTAGTAACAAGTGCCACGCTAGTAGTAACAGGTGCCTTACTAGTAGTAACAAGAAGCTACTAGGAACAAGTGCATCGCTACTAGTAACAAGTGCCTTACTAGTGGCCCTTATTGACCATCCTCCTTTCTCAGGTTCGCGCTTTGTCTCGGCACCCGCCGGTGGCCCAGAGCTGGTCTTTGGGTCGGAGCTGAAAGGTTGCATCGAACCTTAGCGTTTCAGCGTTTCGCATGTCATTCAATGTGAAGCCTGCGAGCCTGCGAAGGTCATTCAATTGCGAATTTTTTTTCTCCATGGCCAACCACTTTCAGAAGGCAAAAGCCTCCCAGTTTGTTCAGACTCACGAGGTTTTGGTCGTGGTTACTACTAGTAAGGCACTTGTTTCTAATAGCGATGCACTTGTTACTAGTAGCGAGGCACTTATTACTAGTAGCGATGCACTTGTTACTAGTAGCTTCCTTTTTGTTCTTGGCATGGCTTTGATCATTGGAAGACTCGCTGGTTTCGTTGGCTATTTCGTTCGTCTCTTTCCCCCCCTGCTCAGTGGCTTGCGCATCGATGCTTCCAGTTGTGCATAAAAGTGGTTGCTGGTTTTCGTCTATCCCTGGTGAATCTGACTGTCTGGATTGAACGAAAAAGAAAAGACAAGTAGTAACAAGTGCCTCGCTACTAGGAATAAGTGCATCGCTTCTAGTAACAAGTGCCTTACTAGTAGTAACAATGTTTGCTATTAGTAACAATTTATCGCCCTTTGGTGTGGCACACAGACACCACATATTTCTGAAAGGAGGGCACATCCCGGTGTTCTCACAACGAACGCCGAGGTCTGCCACTGCCACCGTGAGCTGTTTCGAGGTTGGTGAGAAAAATCACCACTCAAAGCGCATTTCGCCGATGGTAAACTCACCTTGAACTGATGGAACAAAAACCCCCAAAGCCACCATGGCGGCCTATGAATGTGCTGGCAAGCGGTGCAGGAGAACACTTCCTTGAAGACTGGGGGTGTTGGGTTCAGGTGTTGTGGATTTGACGTGGAGAGTGCCCATTCGCCACAGCTGGGTGGACAGTCCTTGCGATTCTAAAGGTAGTCAAGGCTCTTGAGACCTGCAAGCCTCATGACCATAACCTGCTGATGCCCCTTGTGATCCCACATGTGAGGTTTTAGCCTGGACCCAAGCATGCTGAGCAAGAAAAAAGGTTTTGAGTTTTGACTCTTTGACTTGTGGGGTCTCTCCCTTGAAAAGAAAGCGACCACACGACATCCGCCCCATTGGTTGATGGGTCCCTTCATTTCAGGCCCAAGTGGAGAAGCAGTATGAATACAATATCAGGTGTTCACAAAGTTCTTACACCCCAACGGGGTTTGGCAGATGAGCAGATCCCGATTTCCAACCATCCTGAAGTAGATAGAATTTGGAACACCAATCAATCTCAGTCTCCGGTTGGTTCTGTCAGTCTTGGCGCACGAGCTCCCGAGCGCTCTTTGGAGCTGGAAGACAGGCTCGCGGCTCTCCGTGCGGGTTCTGGGGTCCGTGTGGAAAAGGTCAAGAGACGAGAACTCGGAACCTAATAGCGATGGCCTCCAAGAAAAGAGAGAATTCCCTTGGCAAGACTAGGCAGTAGAGGACGGTCAAAAGGAAGGGGTCTCTTACAAGTACAGATCACGTCTACTAGTCTATTGCTCGCACGGCCAGGGGAACCTCTACTTGCTTACACGATGCGTCAAGCCATGCCACGTGATGTGTCACGTGATGCGGAGGCTTTGGCTGGAACCATTGGTGCGGTGACATTCTCTCTGACCAGACTTGCCGATGACCCAGAGTTGGGTCGATGTGGTTCGTTGGTTTTGAATGGTTTTGAAGAAGTTCTTCAGACATACCTCGGTGGTACCATCATCTAGAAAGAGTGAGATGAGTATGGGGTGGAGTGCATGAGTAAACCTCACAAAGACCCCAGGCCCGGCCAAACACGTTGTCAAGGTCAGAGCTCGACGTGCTCGACGTCCTCGAGTCCCTCGGAGGGGGTGTGACACCGAGTGTGAGAAGGACATTGTGACCAGACTCATCACCCCAAACGTACCCCAAAGCATCCAAAACTCTGAGCCTAGAATCTGACACGCCCAAGTAGACTAGTTTCTGTACACTGTTGACTCTTGGGAATGTGAGCCTTTTTAGCCTTGCGAGTTTGCAAGTTCAGAGAATGAGTCGACTGTTCAGAGAATGTTTTCGTGTGTTTCTCTCGCGTCGCTCCGTGTTTTCAGCTGGGGCGACGACGTGAAGTTCTTCGATGGCTCGGTGAAGTCGAACGTTGAGGTGGCCGAGTCGAACGTTGAACCGAAAGGGTGAAGAGAAACCTTTACCCCAAACCTAGAAGATCTCCGGTCGGTGTGTCATTCTTTACATTTAGCATCAGTCATCTTTTTTCCAGTGGGTGTCAGAAAGATGTGGAGGTGGTTGACTTTGTTATTTTGTTTTGAAGCTTTGCCTTCTTCGCAGCCATTGATGGCTGGCTTGGTCACTGTACTCGATTTTTGCTTCAATCGGATCGGCAACCTCAGAGCCATCGTTGCCATCGTTCGCCATTCGCTTCCAAGCTCCCATGTCGGCTCTCGAAATGGGAGAACTATTGTGGGAGAGCCCCCGTGTCACCATTTCCAACCCAATAGCACTGGCCTCCATCCTAGTAGCGATGGCCTCCAACTAGCGATGGCCTCCAACCTAAAGGATGAAGAGAAACCTTTACCCCAAACCTAGACCTGGTGAAGGTCTCCGGTCTTGACCATTCTTTACATTTTGCTCTTCCGGTTGGTGTGAGACATATGTGGAGGTGGTTGACCTTCAACACGGGAGAACTTTTGTGGGAGAGCCCCTGTGTCACCATCCAATTCAGGGCGATGTGAACCCTAAACCTTTGAAGTCTTTCATCCACGAGACACTGACAGATCTCGATGTCTCTGTCGCATTAGAATCACAACCTTTCTGATGACAGGCCACGTTCTTTTTTTTTGTCGTGCACTTTTCACCAACTGTTTGGCACAAGCGAACTGACAACTTGACGGCTGAACTCTGCCTGTTTGTCGCTGAACTTGGATAGCTTCCAAGCTCTCAAGGATCGACCAGCACATCCAAACCCGAACAACATGAACAACATGCATGAGTTGTTTTTTGCAGTTTGATAAACGTATACCGTATACATAGATAAGTGCATGCATATACATAATATGCAGATGTTTCATTCTGATGTGAATAAAGGAGCTGATCAAGAGTGGATGCAATGGTGGAGCCACAAGCCATGGCAGTTGGCAGATCCAGCTCGGATGCATCGTGGGATGGAGTGTGCTTGGATGGCCAGGTACTTGATCGGCCTTTCGGAGAGAACTTGCAGGCGGTCAGAGCAAGGGTTGTTGGATGTGGTTAGGTTTCGGGAGAGCAATGTTAACCAATCTCACCGGAACTATGACAGACACCAAAGCAGTCATCCAACATCCAAGAAAGCAGTCATTTAGTATGATAGTGGACCTTCGGGTCCCTTGTTCAATCGTTTCACTTTTGATCCTTTGTCACTTTCTTGACACATTCGCTGTCTTTCTTGACACCAATAGTTGCTTTTTTAAATGAAGATAGGAGGAGGTGGGTTGAATGCTTGACTGCCGTTGTCACAACAATGCCGGGCAGGATGTGAGCAAGGTGGTTGCCCAGTATGTGGCACGGATGGAAGTTTTAAGGCCCGATGTTTTGAGGGTCACACGTGCACACAAAGCTTTCCGCATTTGTGGACAAGCATTGCGCCCAAGCTACACAGGTGACCTTTATTCGGAGAGTTTCAGGAGCGAAAGGATCTCTTGTTTTTGGTCCCATTCCTGGCACGGGAGGGACTGGATGAAGATCCTATCACTCATGATGCGGTACAATGGGCTGCCGTCAATTCTTGTAGGCTCAGTCTCTGCTTTGATCATGATGGGGTTCTTCAGCTGTGGCCTCCTGCCAAGAGCAAGCTGGCGCTCCGGTGGTTGGGTAGGCGACCATGGGGAGTGGTCAGTCTGGTCACTTGGAGGTGGCTTAGCAACTGTGATGATCACGTTCTTCCTGTGGCGGCCACAGCAGCTGGTTTTTCTTGACCGGATTTGCATCAACGAGAATGACAAGAATCTCAAGTTGGCATGCATTTTTTAGTTTGGCTGGCATTCTTAAAAGATCAGAGACAATGCTGGTTCTGTGGGATTCTTCATGGACAGATCGGTTGTGGTGTTTATTCGAGCTGGCTGCGTTCTTGAAAAGCAAAGATGCAAATGAGCAAGCGCTGCTGCTCAGACCCACATTTCTGGGTCCATGTTCGATCGTTCTTTTCGTTGGTGCTTCTATTGTGGTGCTGCCTTTGGTCGCCACCCCAATACCAAACGTTGGCGTTCAGCATTTCGAACTCGCATCAGTTTACAGTGCCTGTGTCTTTTTGATTGTCTCTGGATACCCCATCGTTGTAGCCTTTCGCATGTATTTTCGCTCAGTGGAAACTTTGAAGGTGAAGTTGCACACCGCCAGCTTTGACACCGCCAGATGCTTATGTTGCGATCTAGGGCACATGAATGAAGACGGAAGGCCCGTGATGTGTGACAGGCAAATCGTCAAGGAATGTGTGTGCAACTGGTTTGGCAGTCAAGAGGCCTTTGAAGACTGTGTCCGATCTGTGGTTTTGGAGAGGCTGGTTGCAACCTTGCAGGAGAAAACTTTCACCAGAGGGTGGAGCCTCTCGGTGTCAATCCCCCTGCTTTGGGCCTTCTTCGATTTGATTGTCTCCCATTTAGCAGGAGGCGATAGGGAATTGGCCATCGCTCAGTTTATGCAAGTCATGGTGCTTTGGCCCCTTTGCATCCCCATGTATGCAGATTTGTGCATTTCCGTTTCTCGCAGGTATTGCCAACGAGGTACTTCCACCTTCCGTGAGATCTTGGAGAACCTGAAAGTGCTTTTCATAGGAGTTGCATTCTTTTGCATATTGGCTGGCAGCTGGTGGTATTTTTGCGCACAACGTTATCATCAAGCGATTTGGAGTTCCGGAATCTTTGCAGGAGTGTGGAGCGCAGCGGCACTGTGCCATTTAGCATACACACAGAGAACTTGAAAACATCTGATTGCTTTGTTTTGCTTGGAGTTGTATCTGAAAAGCAGGAACGATTTGTTTGTGGGTGGCAGATAGAGAAGAGAACCATTGATGTGTAGATTGCATTGGGTGTTCATAGGTCAACCACGAGGTCGAAGATAGGCCAAGATCGTGGAGCAAACGTGGAGAAAAATCGTCGATGTTTGTGGGATCTTTGAGTGATCCAACCAGATCCATCCCGCGAGATCCCAACGAGGTTGGGGGTTGTACTCGTACCTTCAAGCCGCTGTTTTTTCTTTTTTTTACTTTTCATCATCAAGCAAATTGATTCTTTGGCACTTCAGACAAATGTGCCAGTACAGCAAGGATGGTGTATCTCAACATCCAAAGTGGCCCATGCTCGTATGAGCTAGAGTCACATGAATGTCATTAGTCATACTCACCCAATCCTGATGACCATGAATGGTCACCGGTCAAAATGCAGGATGTCGACCGATCGGTCGGGTTCGGATCACAGGCGTGCCGTCGCACCCAGGCCGCGAACGGCTTGCGCTTGATCACCTTGGAGGAGTGGCGCTTTTTGGGCGCTTGTGCCGTGGATCACGGCAGAGGGGAGAAACTCGTTGTGTCAACGGACGTGGATGACATGCCCCAGCGCCACACAGCGGGCTTTTCTACTTCCATTGGACAGAGTGTAGTAGGGGTCAGAAGATGTCATAAGGTGACAAGAATCAGGAACCATGCGAAGGCATTTTCATGGAGTTTGCCGCTTCAGAGTCTGAAACATTTTGTCATGAAGGTGGACTGAGGGTTTTGGCCGGTTGTGGAATCTCAACTACTTCCGTGGATGAAGTGGCGGTGAATGCGGTTGCCTCCTTCTCTTGGTTGTGGTTTGCTTGGATCTATTTCTTCACCCCGAAGGTTGTGTGAAGGGCAAGCACTTTCGAAGAGCTGTGGGTCATGAGGCCCTGTACACATTTGTACACTTATACATCACGCACATTAGCTTGGTGTTTACAGATTTTCATGACCAAGAATACTGGGACGCTACTAGGGGCTCCTGGCATCGCTACTAGGAACAAGAAGCTACTAGGGGCTCCTGGCCTTACTACTAGGAGCAAGGACGCTACTAGGGGCTCCTGGCCTTACTAGGAGCACAGACCTCCTGGCCTTTACTACTAGGAGCAAGGACGCTACTAGTGGGAATGGGCCGGAGAGTTCCGGAGCCGGTCGCCGAACTGGTCGCCGGATGATCCCAAAGCACTCAAGAGTGGGCACAAAAGCGCCCATCCGCCTCAGCTACTAATTTGGCCAACGGCCAAAGACCGACTCAAATCTGAAAAAAGGACGGTGCAACACTCAGATCCCTGGATTCTGAGATGGTCCTCCAACCTAATAGCGATGGTCTCCATCCCAATAGCGATGGCCTCCAACCTATGGAAGACTCAAATCCGTGGATTCTGAGATGGACCTAATTGTGCGGCAAATTGCTGTAATCGACCGTGCATGTGTCAGGCTCCTGCAGAAGTCGCGGAGCCCTACAAGCGTGGTGGACAATTCCTGCAGGCAGGTTTGGACATGTGTTGTGTTGTCCACTTCCCAAGATAGGCCAAAAAACACTTGGATGGTTGCTTCTTTGCTGCTGTTGATGGAAAGAATCCTCAACACCTCATGTAGGGAAAATCTTTCTATCTACAGTCTACAGTGTTTTGGTGGTTCCGGGTGATGCCATTAACTGTGGGAAGATGTTGCTTCTTTCATGGACTTGCTTCAAGTGAGGAATAAAAAGGTGGAGTTGCTGTTGCCTCCACTTCATTGCACAGGTTGTAGTAAGCCTTCCCTTCTACCAGTGTGGCTTGGGATGTCTTTCCTCTAAAATGAGAGACCGCCTGGATTCAACATGCTGTCTCTTTTTGAGGCGAAGGCAGATGATGAATCCAAGCCCTCCTTCTACGCCATTTCCAGCGCACCAGGAGGACCACAATCAAGCCAGACAATCTTTTCCATAGTTACCATAGTTCAGACCACCCGGATGCTTTGTATTGTATCTTCAGGATCTTTGGAGTTTCTCATCAAGGATGTGCCTTCCAATGATTGGATAACAGGCGACGTGGGACGTGTTTTAGTGCAGGATCGTTTGTAATACCAAGCTCGAACAGAGGTACGGCAGGGCGGCTGACTCACCCTCTTCCTATCCAGAAGAACCTTTGAAGAGCTGTACAGTTACTGTGGTGGACAAATGGCAAAAGATACACAAGTTGAAGGCACATTCGCAGGATACGGCCGCAGGAAACAGCCGGGAAAGGGAAAGGCTCGGTTTTGCTTCACTCGGGAGCCTCCTCGGGGATGGTTTTTCCGGAAACGCCTTGTTTCACGAGGAAAAACAAGCGAAACAGCTCTCCAAATCTCCAGTGCTTTTGCCAGGCTGTTGCCACTGTTGCCCATAGCGATTTCTTTTTGCTTTTCTATCGTCTTTTCCCTTTGTTGTGTCGTTGCCAACTGGAGGCAGCAGCACTGGAGATGTGTTGAAGGTGAGCCCTGTGATGGGCAAAGGCTTCGACACTTCCTGCCAGGCGAACGGACACAACAAGTGGTTGTGTGGCCTTTTTCGAAGAAGGTCACGGAAGACCGGTCATGACAGGTCCGTTCGTTCATCACGTTCGTAGCGTCCGATCGCTCCTAGTAGCGAGGCCAGGAGCCCCGAACGTAGCGTCCTTACGCTCCTAGTCTAACACCGACTGAGATCCACTGAGCATTGGAGAAAGCGCATGGAAGAACTAGATAGCTGAACCCGCATTGTTTCCCGCACCCTTTGCGACGACTGTGGAACCTCTCAGGCATGGGAAGAGGCCGATGTGAATCAGGTGCACATCTCGAGGTTTCGCTCGTGAAGAATGTGGCAACTAAGTTTGAACAAGATACAACGATCAGCCAGAGGAACTCCCAAACTCTCAGCCAGAGTTGCTTCTCTCGAAAACGCAAGCTTTCGGTTCCAGGTGTCAGAGAAACGCTGGAAGAAGGATGTTCTGCAGTCGAGTCTCACGGAGTGAGGTAAGCCTCTTTGCCACTGGCTCTGGCGTTGCACCGATGAGGTCGGGTGAATTGGGAAACTGCAGACACCAAAAAGAGAGGATGGATTGATGGGATTTTGATGGATTGATGGCCACAGCAGTCTGAGACTGCAGACTGCCATGCAGACCGCCATGCTTCGCCATGCTTCTCCGGCTCCCAGGGCCGTGATCGAGTCCAAAGCACTTGCAGGTGCCTGTTGAAACGCGAAACTCAAAGCCAAAGGTATCCAGACTGAAAGCCTTGCGACTCGAGTTCGCATAAACTGCAATTTTGTTCCTGTGGTAGGTAAAGCTTGTCGGATGTACTATGGTGCCAGAGAGGAAAGTGCATGCCTCAGCTGGTTGGGCGAACTAGCGGTTACTCTGTTGGGATTCTGTTGGGGTTGCAGAAGTATCTGCTGTGAAAAACATGAATCACAAACCTGCTTTCAAGTGCCCCTCAGGGATTCCCTCCCTTCAGGATTCACGCAGTTTGTCGATTCTTCAACAGGAGACTTCCGTTGCTACGACCAGTTTAGCAAAGGATCACTATCCTGTTTTGACCTGCCAACCCAATCTTCCTGAGATCTCTCTTTCCGTCTGGGTGATGGTCAGAGGGGAAGTCCACGCCTTGGGTTCTCTATTGGAGGTTGGAGAGGCTCTATGCGTTTTCGGAGAGGTAGACACCACTGTCAAATGAAAAGGACACTGGATTTTCACATGGACAACCAGACATAGATTGAAAAATCTCTGTGAAATGTCCTCTACAAATTTGGTCAACCCATGTGTTGGAAACGACCATTTTGTAGAGAAAACATTGGTTTTCTACAGAATCATTGTCCTGGGTGTTCCTGATTTGTAGAGTGATCAGGGTAGATGCAAACACATGATTTGCAAGGCAAGGTCAATTTATAGAAACGGCATTTCCTTACATATCTTTCCGTTGACTCGAGCCCACAATAATTTTGTAGAGGGTCAGAACCCATTTTGTGGAGATGGTTGTTTAAGCATCTTCCTGTTGACACAATTTTCTGTGAACCCACTATGGCCAACCCCCAACCCAATATTATAGACTTAATGTTTCTATCTTGGGGGGGCTTGATTTTATAGATGGATTGGTTGGTTTGGACCTGGGGTGTCGCATTTGTAGGTACAAAATGCCCCCCCCGGGGTTGTCGTGTGAATTTTACAGGGGATATTAAACAACAAATAACTAAAATACACATATGTGAAACATATATACACATGATCATTATGTATATTATATCTAATCCACAGTGATGTTGTGCGACCAGTCTTTTTGGGCAACAATGTACCTCGAGGAAACCGAACTGGGGAAGTGACGTCTCTGAATCGAATGTTTGTTCTGAGGCAGCATGGCATATGCAGTGTCACACTCAGCCAACCGCGGAAGCGCGAAAGATCCCAAGCGAAAGGCTTTCCTGGAAGATCTGGAACACGAAATCGGAAACGCAACAGTGGTAGTTGCATGCCAATAAGTCCACCCCTGCAGGTCAGGTCAGATGATTCAATGTTCTTTCTACATGTTTCTGCTTGGTGTCAAGAACGACATGGTAGTCAGGATCGCTTTGATGAGTGGAGGCAAGGATGAGTGATAAGGAGAGCGATTCTGGGCTGGGAAGCTGCGGTTGACCCGGCCTCGCCAAACAAACTGAGCCAAACGGGGATACTAAGAGCGATGGTCATGATTGAGACGAGTGGCAAAAGGGCGACACATTGTGATCAGCCACACCCGGGGATACTCCTACACCGGTCCTACCCGAAAGTGTTTTTTTTCCGCGGACATCCCGAGTCTCCCGCAGGCGTGCAGGCGTCGAGATTGTGCCTGTTCTCTCCCAAGGTGCAGAGGCTTGGACAGGACGACATGAATCGACACGAGGGCCACCTGCGCACGATCTATGGCTGATATGGTGATGCCTTCCAAAATCCGCGGCGAGGACGCCGTGGCTACGTCCAGGAAGTGATGCGAGAAGATGAGGAGATCATGAAGAGTCCGAACCGAGGGCCACAGTCAAGCTTTGGTCCAGTCTGCCTTGCTCTTTGGATATCTTTGGTATTCTTTGGTGTTTGAATCGCTGAAGTCCCCCCCCCAACTACCTGCTTTGGGTCGACAATTTCCGTGTCCCCTTTGGGTCAACGAAGTCGGAACGTTGCCCGCAGTGTTTTCTGCCGTGAGGAAAGGGGGGAAGGCTTCGTCCTTTCCGCCAACCATGGCGCCTTGCTGTGCGGCCAGAAAGACATGGTGCGCCGCGCCCCGTCTTTGGTGGTGATGGTCCCAAAGAAAGAGAGAGGTCTCCAAACCGTAAACCTGGGCGGGCGAAAGAAATGGGGCGTCACACAAAGTCATATCATGTCATATCATATCAGTCGGGTTTGCGTGCATTTCCGTTGACAGAATTTAGGACACACAGCAACACACATGCAAGTGGGGTCAGTGGACAAATCTACTTTGGTATACTTCTGGAGACAAGTCATCCGTACGTTTGAGTAATCCCAGGTGGTGGGATGTAATTGATTGGATTGGATGGACAAGAATTCCTGAACTCGCAATCAAGCTTTTTGGCAGGTTGCGGCAGTAAGGCAGGTGTACGAGGAGCTCGGTGTGCCCGAGGAGAGCTAGCTTCTTTTCCTTTGTCTGGTACCAGGATGGTCCCAAAACTTGAACTCCAAGCTGTTCGCATTTGTTCGCCAATTAAGTGTTCAAAATCCTTGAAATAGAAAGCCGCCAGGAACGTACTCTGCTCAACTTTTGATTTGCCTGCGGCCTCAAAAGAACAGCATTGGCTGCGTCTGAGTGATGCTTTTTGCAGAACCAGTCGCATGTTTCGCAACCAAAAGCCAGGCTTTTCCAGACTTTTCTGGGACCGGTCAAATACGGGCGAGCAGCGACTTGCGTACGATCTCCCAACCGCCATCCACGGACCCGGGAGAACGTCGTTGTCGCCTTCGTGCAGCCGTGCAGCTGAAGCCGCTCAGTCGGAAGCCAACCTCATGTGTAAGCTGAGAGCGGAGCCGTCTAAAACGGTGAACTGAGTCATAAAAAACTGCACACCTTAAGGTCCAAGTGGTCCAAGCTGAAGAAGTTCCTTCGTTTGACCTTCGATTAGCTACAGCATCTAGAATCTTTTCACCATGAAGATGTATTGAACAATATTCAACAGGCAACACCAAACACCGAACTGAAAGCCGGTGTACCATGGCGATGGCCTTCGTAGCGCCGTTTTCCTTTGGCCGAGGCTCAGCGTTTTCGAAATAGACACTGCAGGGATCTACTGTAAAGGGCGCAGGTGTTAGAAACAGCTCTGGATGGAACCAGTTGGCTTTGCTGTCGCTTGCAGATTGACTGAGCAGACTTTGAGTGCATTTTTTCGGAAGTCACTTTCCGATCGGGTCCCCTGCCTCCTCAAGCATCCGCCAATCGCACCGACTGGCCACGCAGCTTTGGCTCCCACCATGATGACCGACAGTGACAAGTTGACTAAACGAGTTCACACTGCGAAAATGACACCATGAACATGACCATTAACATGATACCGGAAATGGCACCATGAAAGACGACCTCCCCTTGCACTTGCACTCATTTTGTTCGACTTCCCAAACATGTTTGGGGGAGTCAAAGCCTTTTCAATGTCTCAGCGATAGCTGCAGGGCATTCATGAAGGCAGGCAGGTCAGTGTCGGTCAACTTCTGTTCGCGACCAATCGAAAATGGTACTGTATGCCACTGAAGACTCACCAAATTGATTTTCAAGGCTCTCATTGTTGCCCTTCCAAAGCTGCGAGGGAACTAACTTACGTAATTACCAAACCCTTTCAAGCTACGGGAAGCCAACGGGGCTATACTTGCACCTGCCTCCTGGCAGGTCGTCCGAAGCGGGTGATTTCGGTTCGGGTCCGAACCGGGTGAAGCGGTGACCTACTCGGCAGGCTCTGCTGGATCCGAGCTCCTCAGATCAAAACGACAGGACGGTTGTCTCCGGAAAGACATGAGGTAGTGGGACCATGTGGGACCTGTAGAAGGTGTTTTCTTGTTTTTTTTTTTGTTTGAGTATTCTTAATTTGTCAAACAACAACATTCTTGAGTAGTGAAGTGAGTTAGGGAGGTAGTCTTCCAACAAACTGTTGCGGGGAAGCTGATGGATCGGGGTTCATTCCCTTGGTTGCCGCGTGGCGTCATCTCAAAGATTGATGGCTCCTCGGTGTTCCGGCACCGGCCTCAAGCACCCAATACCACGGGAGACCAGTGCAACGTGGAACCCCTTAGAAACATTTTGGTGATAGGCCTTTGACCAGGTTTTGCCATTTCCTCCAGGTCTCAGGAAACCATAGGAAACCCTTGTTCGCAATTTGGATGAACCCAAAGGTTTTCACGTCAACGTTTTTGGTTCAAGACAACTGGACATGCAAGCACCATTTGCAACAACCAAAAACCCCTCACAAGCTTTCACCGCGGAAGCCAAACTGCATTCGCCAAAGCCCCGTGGAAGTACACATGGAAACACCACGGAAGCCTCGAAGTAAACATTTCGCACAACTTTTCTACACATTTTCATACCCTATGAGAAATTACGGCGCTGAAGCGTTGCACCATGTTGCACCAAAATATGGACGCCGCAATGCAGTTTGTGGAAGGGCCGCGCAAGCATTGGCAAAAGCAAGTCATGAGTATAAGGGATCATAGAACCGGTTTTGACCACCGCACACCATGGTCGTGGGCCAGAAGCCCACAAGAGTGCAAAGGTCATCATAAAGTGACACGTCTTTCTGTCAAACAGGCATCATTGTTCTTCGGTCTTTTTGCTTCAAATCAACAAAACCCAAGGATTTGGCTTCAACTGCACTGCCGTCTTGGGCTATGAGCTGAGCTTTTTGCAGAGCGTTTCGATTCTCCAAGCCTTGTGCTCTGCACACACCTTCGCCAATGCAGCGCTGGTCCAATACTTGCTGCGAGCCCCAAAGAGCCGGAGAGGATCGGAGAGGGGGAATTCAACCAGGAGTGACTGTGTCGGAGAGGTTGGCGTCAAATCGAACATTTTCTCCTTGCGGGACAGCTCTTGGAGAGGTTTTTTGATGGAGGGTGATCGTCAGATTCGTCGCAAATACTGTGCCTTTGGGATGTTGGATTTTGGAAGCTTGAAATCCTGCGCAGGTGCATCGTTTTGTGAGATCCGCTGTTTTCTGCGGAGTCAGATTGGGAGTGGCGTTTAGAGGGTGGTGTTTTTGGGGTGTTGGATCTGGCTGTGACATTGGGATTTGCGTTTCAGGTTGTTGCTTCGAAGCTGTGTTTTCGCGACAGGTCTCAGCTCAAATGGTGGTTTTGGTGGATGGGAGTGTGCGGAGATTGTGCTGAGAACGTGTCGAAATCATTCCAAGTGTGTGGTGTGGTGCAAAATTTGCTGAAGTTATGAAGATGTGATATCCTCACTTTTCGTGGAAGGCGCAGTACTTTGTGCGTGTTGCAGGTGTGGAAGTACAATTTTTGTGGCAGGCGCAGGGAATCGTGAGGTTGCGAGGTCTGCTGAAGGTGAACGTCGCTGTGACCTTGAGATTGGCGTGGCGTGTCAGCGGGTGTGGCTTGGAGGGTTGGAATCGCGAAAGAGCTGATTGATGCTTTTGCTCCGATGGGTCTTCCCGCTTCACTTTCGGAGGAACTCTCGTACGAAACTCTCGTACGAAACGCTCCATTGGAGACTTGACGCATGCAATTTGGAGGAAGTTTCGTGCGAAGCGCTCGTTTTGCAGACTTGGTGTGAGTTTTTGAGGAAGTCTTGTGCGAAACGCTCGTTTTGGATACTTGAACTGACTGTGATTTTTTGAGGCAGTCTCGTTGTAGTACCAATGAAGCTGTGGCTTCAGAAGTGGCAACACGGGAAGCAGCTTCTGTGGGAGCTGGCCTCAGAAGGTGGTACGTAACTTTGCAGTGCCAATGTAGTGCGGCTGGGTAGTACATTTTAGTGCGGGAAGCACTGTGGCCTCAGAACTGGCCATTGTAGTATAAATTCAGTGCTGGAAGCAGGTCCTGGGAGCTGTGGTATCAGAACTGGCAACTTAGTAGTAGTGCAAATGCAATGCGTGCATTGTATGTAATTAATCTGTGGCACACTGTGTGGCCAGATGTCGCTGTGCCATGCCTACTACCACTACCACTACCACTACCACTACCACTACCACTACCACTACCACTATACCACTACCACTACTACTACTACTACTACCACTACTACTACTCCTACTGCTACTGCTACTACTCCTACTACTACTACTACTACTACTACTTGGCCGGCCGGCCGCTATGGCCAGCCGGCCGGCTGGTCGCGAAATAGCAGGCCGGGTTGCCCGCGCTGTCCAGAGATCTCAGCCGTTTGTGTTCGTTCGGAAGGCTTCGTTTTGTTCGCATCGTCCGCGTCGGCCAAGGTTCGAATTCTGCTCCTCGGACGACGGGTTTTGCCGATTGGATTCTTTGGCTTTGCACATGCGGCGCTTGCGCAGCGAGCTCCTCCGAAGCTCTGCTCAGGACCGAGCTGAGTGGTGACGAAAGAGACATGTTCGTTTGGCCTGCATGTTTGGCGCATGGCACATGTTTAACTCTTTGTTGCACTGATCTTCATTTCACCAAGACTTGTCCAGGGGATCTGTGAGAAGATTTGTGAATCAATCAGGGCCTTTGTCTGGGAAATCAAGAAGAAACCATGAATCACTGAACTACTGAGCTCCCCGAAAAACCTACTAAAACCTCCTGTATATATAGGTGTCATATCTTCAGAGCCACAAATTGAATTGCCTTCAATCATCCAGATAATGCAATGGGCCAAGCCTCCACAACGCCATTGTTTGGGAACATTCCCCAAACATCCACAAACTGCTTGAGCACGAAACATCGTGATAAGGGGGTATTGAGCCGCCAAAAGCATCGAATGTTAATAGAGACACCTCAAGACTTGAGACGATGGATAGGATGATACCCCAATAGGTCCGATGAGCTAAGGTGCTCATTCGACTCATTTGTAGCTTGTTTTTACAGGTTTTACCGGTACCAAGATCCGAAGATGTGGCCGGAACATTAGGAGGTTGATGTATGTAGGATGTTCTTGCTGTTCCAAGTTTCGGTGCTGTAGATCTAGCAACTTCATCTTCCCCGGCGAATGGGTCAGAATGGGCCAAGTAGTCAGATTTCGTGAATGGCACATGGCACCAAAACAATGTGAATCTGATCGTTCACCTCGTGAACAGTGTTTCCTTTTCCGTCCGAGTGGATTCGACCGCCACGACATGTCAGTCCGCTTTTCTTCTGCAGGTTGCAGGACGATTGACCGGCAGCCTCAGACAGGCTGTGGCCCTGAGTGGACGAAAGACTTGGCACACATCACGCTGCAACGCGTAACCTGTCGACAAGCGGCGGTTGGCAGGTTCGTCAGGCCACAAGCAGCCTTTGTGGGTTTTGATCTTCAGAAACCATTATTCTTGTGCTGACTTTTGTTGGGTTGGGTATACTTTGGCGTGACAAATGGTTGGTTATTGAGTCGATCGCCCAAACACTTGGCAAGCATTGAGGTTCACTCACGGACCTACGATATTCCGGTATACAAGGGTGTTGGCTCTTTCATAGTAGCGTCCTTGCTCCTAGTAGCAATCTACATGCACCTCCAAGATGGGCACAGAGAGATGCATGAAATCTGATTTGTTTGCTCAACAGAGGCAGCCCGGAACGGATTGAGATGTCGGATGGAGAAGTCAATTGACATCATTATTGCTTTCATTGCTGTGTGTTTGACAGCGTGTTGCTGTACTACACCTGTACCTGATTTGGTTTTCCCGAGGCTTTTATATTTGTCCCGGCAG